AAATTACTGCAGATGGTGACTGCAACCATGAAATTAAAAGGCACTTACTCCTTGGAAGAAAAGCTATGACAAACCTAGACAGCATATTAAAAAGCAGAGACATTACTTTGCTGACAAAGGTCTATCTAGTCAAAGCTATGGTTTTTCCAGTAGTCACGTATGGATGTAAGAGTTGGAGCATAAAGAAAGCTGAGTGCCAAAGAATAGATGCTTTTTTGAACTGCGGTGTTGGAAAAGACTCTTGAGAGTCCCTTGAACTTCAAGGAGATCAAACCAGTCAATCCTAAAGGAAATCCATCCTGAATATTTTGGCCACCTGATGCAAAGAACTGACTCCTTAGAAAAGACCCCAATGATGGGAAAGATTGAAGGAAGGAGGAGAAGGGAACTAGATGGTTGGATATCATCACTGACTCGATGGACATGAGTTTGAGCAAGCTCTGGGAGTTGGTGAAGGACAGAGAAGCCTGGCGTGCTGCAGTCCATGGGGTTGCAAAGAATCAGACACAACTAAGCAACTGAACTGAAAGTTTGAGAAGCACTAAAGCCCTAGTATAGACTGTGTTTCTCAAATTTTGCATATTAGAACCATATAGGGAGCTTCTAAAGTTCTGATGCCCCCACTGCATCTTATGCCAAGTAAGTGAGAATATCTTGGGATGAAGCCCAGGCATGAGTATTTTTTATTATGGTAAAATATACATAACATAAAATTTACTGTTTTTGCCACTTGTAAGTATTTGGTTCAGCAATATTAAATACACTCTCAAAAAAAAATTAAAATAAATAAATAAATACACTCTGATTGTCATGCAAACATCACTACCATCCATCTCCAGAACTTTTCATCTTCCCAAACTGAAACTCCATAAACATTAAACACTAACTTCCCATTCCCCTCTTCTCCCAGCCACTGGTAACCACCATCTACTTTCTGCCTCAATGAATTTGACTATTCCAGGTACTTCGTATAAGTGGAATCATACAGTATTTGTCTTTTGTGACTGGCTTCTTTCACTCAGTATGATGTCTTCTAGGTTCATTCATGTTGTAGCATGTGTCAGAATTTCCTTCCTTTTTAAGGCATATCATATTCCATTGTAGGTATTTACCACACTTTGGACATGTAGATTGATGGACACTTGGGCTCCTGTAACTTGCCTGTGGCTATGCTGAATAATACAGTTACAAACTTGGGTATACAATTATCTGTTTGAGTCCCTTCTTTCAATTCTTTTGGGTATATACCCAGAAATGGAATTGCTAGATCACATGGTAATTGTTTTTTGGACTTTTTTGAAGAACTGCTGCTACACAGCAGTTTTCCACAGCAGCTGCACCATTTTACAGTCCCATCAGCAATGCATACGGGTCCCAATTTCTCCACATCCTCACCAACAATTGTTATTTTCTGGTTTTTTTATTATAGCCATTCTAATGGATGCAAAATGTTATCTTATTGTGGGTTTGAGTTGCATTTCCCTAATGATTAGTGACATTGAGCATCTTCTTATATACTTATTGACCAGTTGTGTATTTTCTTTGAAGAAATGTTTATTCAGGTCTTTTGAATTGGGTTCTTTTGTTGTTGTTGAGTTACAGCAGTTCTTTATATATTCTGGATATTAATCCTTTATCAGATATATGATTTGCAAATATTTTCTCCTGTTCCATGGGTTGCCTTTTCACTCTATTGATAGCATCCTGTGATGCACAAAAGTTTTAAATTTGATGTAGTCCATTTAATCTATGTTTTCTTCTGTTGCCTGTGCTTTTGGTGTCATAGCCAAGAAATTATTTTCAGACATGGGTATTTTTTTTAAAGCTCCTCAAGTGATTTCATTATACAGCTAAGGTTGAGCAGTGTGTCTCAAACTTTAATATGCATTTAGACCACCTGAAATCTTGTAAAAATGCACATTTTGATTTATTAAGTCTGGGGTAGGGCCCATGATTCTGCATATCTAAGAAACTCCTAGCTGATGCTTATGCTACTGGTCTGGGGACCACTGAACAGCCAGGGTATAGAGGAGCATCTCAGTGATTTCCTTCATCTGAGGCCTGAGATAGAGCGTGAATATTTGCCAGGCCTTTTCCTAAGTCTCCCACTATACCTGTTCCCCAGCAGGCCCTCAGCTGACCCTAACTTTCAACTGGTGCTGAGCAGCCCTGGTGAGTACACTAAGAGCCTTTGGCATAGCAGAAAAATGAGAAATAAAGGACCTGTTCTCCCCACTCCACTCTCAGCCCAGCCCCCAGGGGGAGACCATCCACTGGTCTGCCCCTGCCCAGTGCATTCACTTCCACGCTAATGATGGCCGGTTCCTGCCTGACCTCGGCCCCTGTAAGGAAACCACAGTAGAGCTCTGCTGAAAAGCTGTTTGGCTCAAAATATATTTATTAATAATATGCTCAGAAAGGAAAACCACACAGGTTGGTCTGAAGTTTATGGAAAAAGCTGGGGAGAAAAACTGCCGAAGGCCTGCTTCTAAAAAAAATTAATTATACCATCATAGAATTTTAGAGCCAGAAATGACCTTTAGAGATCTACTCCCAAACCCTCATTTTGGAGAAGAAAGCTGGCACCCAGTGAGGCTGTGACTTGCTCAAGGTCATCAAGCAAAATAGAGGTCAGCCCATAGGTGTGTTTTTCTTTTTAATCTAGCTTTAGGTTGCATGTGTGCTAAGGCACTTCAGTTGTGTCCGACTCTTTGCAATCCCATGACCTGTAGCCCACCAGGCTCCTCTGTCCATGGGGAGTCTCCCAGCAAGAATACTGGAATGGGTTGCCATTCCCTTCTGCAGGGAATCTTCCTGACCCAGGGATCGAACCTGGTTCTCTTATGTCTCCTGCATTGGCAGTTGAGTTCTTTACCCACTGAACTACCTGGGAAGCCCAGGTTTAGGTTATTTATGTGGAAATGGATAACACAGAGTAGCTACTTCTTTCATATGGCTCCTTTAATTAAAGCTTTTACTTTTCAAAAAAAAGATAAATCAAGAGGCTGGATTTTTGCCCTTCATGGCCTTCATTAGAAAATCTCTACCTGATGTTTATAATGACCCTAATAGAACCCTTCTATGACCTACCACTCCCTGGTGGCAGTGACCGAAATTTCAGGTATTGTGCTGGGAGGAACTTAAAATCTTCTAGAAGGCATGCTCAGTACTGCTTTTCCTTCCATGTCCATTGCAAATGTTGTAAGCTGTTCACAGTACTCTTTCAAGCCACTGCCAATCAGTTTGGCTGTCAAGCTGAAACTCATTTGCCACCCCTACACTAGAGTTCATACCTTGAAAAGCCCTGTGACCTTCAGTTCCACCCTACATTTCAACATGTTTATACTAGTTATTAAACACTCTTTAGCTTCGCATTCCCCCACCCACCCCAGCTGCTCATTAATCCAATTATGACTTCCTTTTATCCAACCAAACTTCTTGCCAAGATGCAGAACTCTTGGAGTGATGTGTTTGCTTTTGGTGATTAGACAGCCCGGTAGATGATGCTGTCATGTTCAGACATCTCTGTAATTGGGACTGACCTCACTCTGATCGTGCAACACCCAGCATGTGCCCTCTGAACACGGTGCAAGAACTTCCTTCCCAGGAAGGCTCTCCGAGGTTAGTTTCTATGCTGCAGTTGGAGCCCTGCCCCTATGTCTCTCTCCAGCCTCTCCAGTGAGGCATTAGAGGGGCTTCTGAATCACATTTAGCTCTGAAGACAGTGCCTGGGCCTTTCATTTTGATCTCTGGGTTCTGAACTGGAGAAAGCTCCTATGCTGGCAGGAATGTCTGTCTCCATCTGGGGAGTCAGTCTTCAGATCCTCTCTTCATTAAGACGTCAGCCTCACTCAGCCTTGCTCTTGGCTGCCAGACGCACTGACAAGCCAGCAGGAAAAGCTCCATCAGGAAGAGGTGTGCCACCCTCTGAAGGCGCTGCTTTGCCTGTGGGGCTGGACCTGTGTAGACGTCGTAGGACTTGTCCCAGGGGAGCCTTTGGAGCACTTTGTGAGCGGTGATTCTAAGCCTGCAGGCATCATCTCAGGGTGGTGCCATCTGTAGTGTTCTAAGTGTCTTCACTGCTCACGCAGGAGAGGGTGGAGTCCTTCCACTTCCTTGGCCATTCTCATCTGTCTCCTGGGTGGCTGCCACCAGCTCCCGTAGCCCCAGGCTGTTTGGCAACACCCTGAGTTATGTTAGAGATATAATAATGAATTATACAATGGATTATACATAATTAATTTATAATAAAACACACACAATGGTTTAATTTCTCCGAGTGAATGATGTGCCGCCCGCCAGTTCCTGCCAGGATACACTCCATAACTGACTGCTTCCTGGTCTGGAGGCGACGGCCAGTGGCCCTAGGGAGGGTCCCTGGCAGGGGAACCTTCCAAGTCACAGATTCTGTCTGGGTTACCTCTGGGGTCGGTCCCACACAAGGCTAATCCTTTACTTTCTCTGCTATTGTTCTAAACGTGAACCTGCACGGGGGTCTCACCTGCCCCTGGATCATCTGAGATCTGTTATTTTCTTCTTTCTCCCAGAGCATGAAAGATGCAAGTGTATTTCTCCCTCCTTCCCTCCCTTCCCCCCCAAATATGTATTGAGTGTCTCTTATGTGCCAAACACTGTCCTTGGCTTGATGTGCATCCATGAACAAAACAGACAACGATCCTTGCCCTGGTGGAGCTTATGTTCTAGTGGAGGGAGAGAGACACTAAATAATAAAACATGATGAATGAGGAAATCACCTGGCATGTTATACAGTGATAGACACTGTAGAAAACGAAAAGGCAGAGGAGCATAAGGGTGACCTCAGTGATGGGGGCAGGTCACAGTTTGAAAGAGCATAGCCAGGATGGGTCTTGCGGAAAAGTGGCAGCCTAGGGGTTGCCAAGCCCTCCAGGAAGCGGGAAGAAAGGCACTTCTGCGCCAACCTGGGATTCGATTTTCCTGGGCTGCTTTCGGTCAGTAACGTTTGTAACTTCTGGTTTCAGATGTTCCAGGTGTTTCTATTCCTGCTGCTGCTGTGGTTTCTGCCCCTGACTGAGGGGTCCCAGCGGGCTGAACCCATGTTCACGGCAGTCACCAACTCAGTCCTGCCCCCTGACTACGACAGCAACCCCACCCAGCTCAACTACGGAGTGGCAGTGACTGATGTGGACCGTGATGGGGACTTTGAGATCGTTGTGGCTGGGTAAGTGCCTCCCACCTTGAGTTTGACAGATATATCAGTCAGCTTTTGCTGCAAGAGGGCCGGATAACAAATAACTCCAAGAACCCAGTGGCTGGCAACAACACACATTCTCACTCACATGGGTCTTGGCTGGGCTCAGCTGGGGTCTGGTAGGCTGCGTCCTTGCTCTTTTGCTGTAGCAGTGAGTTGGGATGGAGGTAGACTGGAAAAAAGGGGTTTGATCCACAGGCTTTCCAGAGAGATTTGAATGCTGTGCTTCAAGGCCTTCTGTTCATCTTTCAGCCACCTTAGTTATGCCAGTGTTACTTCCTTACCAATGAGACTCTAGAATCTCTATATAGGAGGGGCTTGAGGGTAACAGTTATGATAGAGGGGGATGCTCAAAGCTGCCTTTGCATGGCATTTTACACAAGATTAAGAAATCATTAATTGCCTGTTTCAGAGAAGGGGGAAATATGGGGATGAAGAGGGATGGCTAAACTCCCTCTAAACCATGCCTTGGTACCCCTGCTCCCTTCTCTCCTGAGAAGCAACACTGTGTAGCAAGAAAAGATTTGAGTTCATGCCCTAAATCTACAGCTTTCTAGTTGCATGACCTTGAGTGAGCCCCTTGTGCCCTGAGATTCAGATGTATCATCTGCAAAAATGGGGATAGGAATGCACCTCCTTGTCCTGTTAAAAGCTTTAACAGGCTATTGCACATGACGGTTCATTGTAAATTCTGCCAGTTGCCATTAATAATCATTATTTATGGAGCACAGATATGTGCCAGACACTGTGCTAAGCCTTTCACATACACTGTCTTATCCTCCTGACAACACTATGAAGTAAATATACAAGAGGAGGAAATTACAGTTCAGAGACGGTGAGTGATTTGCCCTCCATCAAGTAAATAGTAAGAGGGTGAGTCAGGTTTGAACCCCAAGGCTCCCTAACTATAGAGCTGCTAAAGTACATTGTACAAAGTTTAGTTATCACTTCAAAAATCAGCCAATCAATAAAAACACAACAGGGGCCTGTCAACCTCATTCTGGAAGGCCAGAGTTTTTATGGCCACACTGAACAAAGTAAATGGCAAGCAACATTATTTGTAGCCATTGCATGTAACAGTAGAAAGCGTTGACTTTGGAACCAGAAAACCTGGTTTTGATCCTGTCCCATCCAATAGTTGTGTTCCATGTGCAAATGACTTAAAGTGGGGAAAGCTCCACTTTCCTCATCTGTAAAATGGGTATGTTGAAATCTACCCCCACCTACCACACATGGTGAGGATCAGTGGTAATGACATATAGACAAGATACTTTGTAAGTGCATTTCTTCCTTTTTTTATTCTACCCCAAAAAGAGTAGAAATTCCTAGATTCTAGGTTCTCCTGGAACTCTAGATTACTGGCTGACAAACAGCTTTCTATGATGATATAGAAGTTCTATGTTGGTTCTGTCCAATATAGTATCCATGGGCATGAGACTGTTGAGCACTTGAAATGTGGCTACTATGACCAAGGAACTGAACTTTATTTCATTGTAACAGCACAGCTCTGGGATGTCAGAAGAAAAAACTAAAGAGCAGAATGTGATAGAAAAAGGAAAAACAGAAACAGTTGTAATGATTCCCTTATTACCAGATCCCCTTATTACCTGTGCAGGGTTAGGGCCAGGCAGCTTGTCTGTGTTCAGGTCAGTGGCTGTCCAGTGACTGTCTATTCATGCCCTAGATCTACAGCTTTCTAGTTGCATGACCTTGAGTGAGCCCCTTGTGCCCTGAGATTCAGATGTATCATCTGCAAAAATGGGGATAGCAATGCACCTCCTTGTCCTGTTAAAAGCTTTAACAGGCTATTGCACATGACGGTTCATTGTAAATTCTGCCAGTTGCCATTAATAATCATTATTTATGGAGCACAGATATGTGCCAGACACTGTGCTAAGCCTTTCACATACACTGTCTTATCCTCCCGACAACACTATGAAGTAAATATACAAGAGGAGGAAATTACAGTTCAGAGACGGTGAGTGATTTGCCCTCCATCAAGTAAATAGTAAGAGGGTGAGTCAGGTTTGAACCCCAAGGCTCCCTAACTATAGAGCTGCTAAAGTACATTGTACAAAGTTTAGTTATCACTTCAAAAATCAGCCAATCAATAAAAACACAACAGGGGCCTGTCAACCTCATTCTGGAAGGCCAGAGTTTTTATGGCCACACTGAACAAAGTAAATGGCAAGCAACATTATTTGTAGCCATTGCATGTAACAGTAGAAAGCGTTGACTTTGGAACCAGAAAACCTGGTTTTGATCCTGTCCCATCCAATAGTTGTGTTCCATGTGCAAATGACTTAAAGTGGGGAAAGCTCCACTTTCCTCATCTGTAAAATGGGTATGTTGAAATCTACCCCCACCTACCACACATGCTGAGGATCAGTGGTAATGACGTATAGACAAGATACTTTGTAAGTGCATTTCTTCCTTTTTTTATTCTACCCCAAAAAGAGTAGAAATTCCTAGATTCTAGGTTCTCCTGAAAGTCTAGATTACTGGCTGACAAACAACTTTCTATGATGATATAGAAGTTCTATGTTGGTTCTGTCCAATATAGTATCCATGGGCATGAGACTGTTGAGCACTTGAAATGTGGCTACTGTGACCAAGGAACTGAACTTTATTTCATTGTAACAGCACAGCTCTGGGACATCAGAAGAAAAAACTAAAGAGCAGAATGTGATAGAAAAAGGAAAAACAGAAACAGTTGTAATGATTCCCTTATTACCAGATCCCCTTATTACCTGTGCAGGGTTAGGGCCAGGCAGCTTGTCTGTGTTCAGGTCAGTGGCTGTCCAGTGACTGTCTAAATCCAAAAAAAGTCTTCTTGGCCAAATCCTGCCAACTGGAGCCTGTGCCACTGCACCAGGGTCTCTGGGTCAGGGGCTGTGATGCACTCCTGAGATGTTCTGGTTGGTCCTGCCTCCTGCCAGGTGGTACCAGCCTCCCTCTGGTAGGCACTGGGCGCCAGAGGACAAAGAACAGTGAGGCAACTTCCCTGCTTCCCATCCTTCCCTCCTCTGGGGCCCCTACAAGATACTGTGATGAGCAGGCTCTCCTTTCATCTTGGATGATGGGCCACCAGCTCAGATTTCCATTCCCACCCATCCTTTGAGGTGCAGGGGATGGTCACTGCATCTCCTGAGCATCCTGCTCTTTGCTTTCCCAGTGCTGGGCATTCACTTCATCCTCTCTTTCTTTTATTTTTTTAAATACTTTTTAAAATTTGTTTATGTGTTTGTTTTATATTTTGCTGGGACTTCATTGCTGTGAGGGCTTCTCTGTAGTTATGATGAGCAGGGCCTACTCTCTGGTTGCAGTGCATGGACTTTTCATTGCTGTGGCTTCTTTTGTTGAAGACCATGGACTTTAGGGTGTTCAGGCTTCAGTAGTTGTAGCATGTGAGCTCAGTGGTTGCAGCTCCCAGACCCTAGAACAGGGGCTCAATAGTTGTGGCACACAGGTTTAGCTGCTTCACAGTATGTGGTATCTTCCTGGACCAGGGATTGAACCCATGTCCCCTGCACTGACAGGCGGATTCTTTGCCACTGAGCCACCAGGGAAGCCCTTCCCTTTCCTTCATGTTTATTTGTCTGGTCTTAGCTGTGGCATGCAGGATCTTAATTGCCAGGCTCGGGCTTATCTCCAGTTGTGACACGTGGCCTTCGTTGCCGTGTGGAATGTGGGATCTTAGTTCCCTGACCAGGGATCAAACCCACATCCCCTGCACTGGATGAAGGATTCTTAACCACTGGACCACCAGGGAAGTCCCTGAAACTTTTTTCACTTTCTGTGCCAAGGAACTCAATAAATTTTCTTTTGTGTCTTCTATGGTAGAGAAGCTAGATCATCTTTCATAGGCAGTTTAGAGTAGATGTCTAAACCTTGTCCAGCTTGCTGCTTCCTATGGGGCCTGCAGCACTTTGGAGTCATCCTCCAGAAAACCAACCCAGACCATCCTGAGTCAACCATAATTCAGGGAAAGACTGTGCCAGGCGGCTCCTAACTGAGAAAGTTTGGACTGCTGGGTGTTCTAGCAAAGGGCTTCCCAGGTGGCATTAGTGGTAAAGAACCCGCCTGACGATGAGAATCCACATAAGAAATGCAGATTCGATCCCTGGGTTGGGAAGATCCCTTAGAGTAGGGCCTGGCAACCCACTCCAGTATTCTTGCCTGGAGAATCCCATGGACAGAGGAGGCTGGAGGGCTACAATCCATAGGGTCGCAGAGTCATACAAGACTGAAGCAACTTAGCATGCATGCATGCACCCCCAGCAAAGAAGAAGAGTTGCATGGAGGGCAGGATGGCGAAATTGGGCAGCCTCCCAGCTCTAGGTCAGGCCTTCTTTGTGGCTGTTATGAAGCATTGTGAATTCTCAGAGCGTCAGAAAGACACGTTCTAATTTAAGTACCAAAATACATTCCAAAGGCAAATATAACTTTTTATTATCTTCAGCTCAGAATGATTTGTCACTGTCTTTCTTCTTTGGGCTGGATAACCAGGAGTTGACTATACAGACATTATTAAATCAGGACCTTGGGAGGTCATTCGGTCCACCCCTTGCCTTCCAGTAAGGTCACACCTATGGTTTTTGGAGGCTCCATTTACTTAAAGCCTTTCAAGGGAATGTATGAAACCTTTTCATAATCCAGCTCAATTACTTATGTTAAAAAATCTTTCTGATTAATCTAAATCCTTCATATTTGAGCTTAGTAAGCCATTCCTTTTAACTTTTGCTTTGCTATTATTACCTTTGAAGATATAAACCAAGTAAGTGGTCACTACCCTTTCAGATAATGACAGCTAGGATCATTGCTCTGCCTTTCATGCCCTGTGGACTCCTTGGCAGTGTTTCTGATTTGACTTTTATTCAGTTTCATCCACCCTACACCCATATTTGGGGTTTCACTGATGGCTCCGGCAATAAAGAATCTGCATGTAATGTGGGAGACCTGGATTCATC